TGGCGAAAAACTAAGGATAAGCATAATACTTAGTTGTTACTCTACCCTAATATCCTATCAAGATCATGAAAACTACACTAATTATATATATATATATATATATATATATATATATATATATACACATATATATATTAGTATAATTATGTAAGAGAATCTCATTAAAGAAAAGCTAAAGATAACATGATCGATAAATATACTATAAGGTAAAACAAAGCAGTTGTTCAATGGGAACGACAATTCATCCTTCAACTAATTAGTTTCCGGAAAACCCCAACCTATAATCATTAAATATTCATTGAACGGGGAAGATATGTATAGATCTGTATGGGGTTGACACCCCTACATGCGGTTTCTAGCTAAAACCTTGATGGCAAAGTCACATCAGGCATAACTTTATAAACTACATTACAATGTCCAATGAACATTGTACGATACATATATCTAGTCAAAAGCTCAATTATAGGACCTTATTGTAACAAATGCTCGGCCAACCTTAATAAAATAAACTACCTAGGGGGGAATGCCTTGAAGTAGTAATAGTATGTATTAACAAAGGAAAACGGGTGAAAATCCTTATGATAAACGAAATAGGCTGATTTATCAAAAAATAATTAGTTATAGAATTACAAGAATATATATATATATATATATATATATATATATATATATATATATATATATATATATATATATATATATATATATATATATATATATATATATATCAAGTAAACAACTACCGGAATACTGATAGGGCTTTCCTAGGTAGTATCTTATAAAAAACATACTTGAATTTATCAAGTGTACAAATCCAAATATTTCTGAAATAAGGAAGAAGTGAAATAAGAAGTGAATGCCAAAGGAAAGATAACAATTTACAAATCCAAGATACTGGAAGAAAATACTCCTTAGAGACTTTTATATATATATATATATATATATATATATATATATATATATATATATATATATATATATATATATATATATATATATATATATATATATAAAAGAATAGTGAATAAACCCTTAATGGTATGGTATGTAAATCTAGGAACCCAAAAAAACAAAACCACATCGTTTTCATTACTAATTCCATTTTTTCAATTAGATAATGCAATTTCCTTAAAAAAGCACTACTACGTTCGTATTATTTCCATAATTTCCTTAACGACGTACACTATCTTTTCCTTGATCTTCGACTGCTTCTGCTTAAGTTATCATCGATTAAAAACCACTGACTTCTGTTTCTTTGAATTGGATTTCACAGAAATCATAGAAAAAATAAAGGTTCAAGAAATCAGTTATTTTTCACACTTATTTTTGTGGTTATTTCCTTTATTTTCTGAAAAATTACCTATCTGATCTTCGATTGCATACAACTTAATGATCATTGTTTAGAAAAACACTGATTGACATTCAAATTCTGCTTCTATGAATTGGATTTCACAGAAATCATAGAAAAAAGGTTCAAGAAATCGATTGTTGTTGTTGCACTTCTGATTCAAGAAATTGGATTTCACATAATTCACTGAAACATGAGGTTTAAGAAATCGAATTTCACATAACGGAATTAGTGGATCAGAAATTAAATCGAACAATTGGTTCAAAACTTAACCTCCTTGAAAAACAAAAATTACTCTATTATTAATCTTTTACAATTCTTTTATGCAATTCAAATTTATTTATGATAATCTACATAAGAGTGAAGAAACTTCTTCATGTTTACTAGTATTTGCAAGTTGGGAGTTTTTACTTTTGGGTAATCAACATAAAAAACAATTATCTTTGTTTCTTGGCAGTACAATTCCATAATTCGGGTGTTTTTCTTGCTTTAAATCATTCCTCTTGTTAAGATTATATGATGTTTTCTTATTATATATTGTTTTCAGTATATCAATATATATTGTACAACAATTGCAAAAGTTGACTAAATCAGAAAAGTAGTTCATAAGCCATATGTTAGCCTTTTTGCCGCATCAGATGGAATTGTTTTGGAAAATCTGGCTGCAAGATTTTTAAATGACATTCAACTTAGGTAAAGTAGTGCTTTGTTTTTTACTTATTGGACTTAATGAATTTTCTCTTTATGAAAAAAATGACCGTTTTACCCTTTTGTGTAGAAGTGATGTAGAATAAAGACAATGATGTTTTAACGGATAACACGAAGTCAGTTTGTTTATATAACGTAAAAAAGAAGAAACACTATGTAATCATATCCTCATTTACTCCGGTAAGCCAAAAAGTAACAACACCTTAACCCGGTTACTTATATAAGGGTGTTTTCATTTTTGATTTGATACAAAAGAATCATATAAACCAAATGAAAAATCAACATATTAAAACTTAAAACCTTAAAACCCCTTTATCCCCCTTCATACTCTTTATCTAAATCTTTCTATGTACACCCTTTCAAGTTCCAACTCCAATCAGACATTAACCAAAGTCTCAAATGTCTGAATCAGTTCAGTTTGATGCTTCTACAAGTGCTTCGACTTCAGAAATACAAAATGGTCTCCTGGTTCTAAGACGTGAAGCGTCTAGAGTCATTAATGTGATTGGTATAATAGATTTTGTATCCACCATTATTTCTTCTTTATTTTCTTTTCAATTATTCAATCTTTCAGCTTCCTTATGTTGTTCATCATTTGCTTGATCAAATAAAATCATTATGTGTAAAGAGAATACATACATCCTGAAAATAAAATATAAAAAAAGAGATAGGTACACTTTGACTTTTTTTGGTCAACCATCATACAATTCAAATTCAAAAGAAACAAGGTACAAAGATTTACTTTTGTCATTGCTTCAAAACCAGGTGCCATTACAATGCAAGCATACAGATCAATAAACAAGTCTCAGTTGTTTTCAAGTATGTTAGGTGAGACGTGTTTTGTCAAAACTACGTAGTTTTGTTAAATGTTTTAATTTTTTGAAAAAAAAGAATAATTTCCTTAAAAATAATCTACGTTTCCTTATTCCTGGTGAAATCCAACTCAGATTACTCCTTATTTTTAGAATGATAGCTATCGACATCACCAATTCACAGAAAAAGAAAAAAAAATCGGTGATTTCATGCAATCACAAGAAGACTACTTGATACCGATAAATCAAATAAAAAAAACCTTTGAGTTCACGAAGTTGGGTGCGTTGATCATACAACTTTCTCACAACAACAAAATCGATTGCAATCAAATGATCGGAATTAACACTAATCGTTAGTCATATTAAAAAACCCTTCACCCTAAAAAAATTTGCAATTCACAACAGCAAAGTGGATTTCGTCTTGTCTAACCAGGTTGGTCAATTCCTCAATTTATAAGTTTATCAAGTTTATTATCAAATACCCATTAATTTTCTTCTAAATCTCAATAAAAAAGAAGTTGCAATTCATGAAAGTGAGTTATAGGTGTTGTAGTTAACTTGCTATATTCCTCCAATCACTTTTAACCAAAAAACTAAAAAGTTTCAATTCAAGAATTTGGATTCGATCAAATAGTACCAAGTAATTTTTTTTCTGAAACATACTTTTTGAAATTTTTCTGATTTTTAATATTTGACATTATTGTTTATAGTGTTCTCCACTAACTGTTGAATCTATATTTGTTACGAGGTTTTATTATTGATATTGTTGTTTCTAGAGGTAGACATTGCGGGTTAAGGACTTTTGTGAAAAGATAAAATATCCAATGTATTTGATTTTTGTTTAATTTTTCATTGTTGGATGTTAATATAATTTTTACGTATAATGTTTCAATATGCATTATTTTCTATTGCAGGCCATAATGTGTGAAGCCGAAGCAACTAATCAAGCTATAGAACCATATATAACCGGAGATATTGACATAAGTGATTATGTGGAAGCAACATATGAAAGTGAAAAAATAAATAGTATCAGTGTGAACATTGAATCCGACGAAGATGATGTTAATGATGAAAGGATACTGTGAAAGGTTTTTGATACGCCCGATGATGCCTATACATTTTATAATGATTATTTATTTTTGCATGGATTTGGTATACGTAGAGATGACACAATTAAAAATCCTAAAACAAATGAGCCCTTTCGGAAGATATATGTATGTACCAAAGAAGGCTTCAAAAGGATGGACAAAGATGCTTCAAGTGAAAATGAGAAAAAACATCGTAGAGATATTAGAACCGGATGTCAAGCAAAGCTTCGAATAACAAGACAGGAGGATGGGAAATGGTTGGTGGACTTGTTTAATGACACACACAATCATGACTTGACAATGTCACCTACGAAGGTGATAAAGCATCGATCTCATAGCAATTTCCACTATTCAATAGAAGGTAAATCTCTTACGGTGCAATAAAAATGGAAGTATGATGGTATTTTGTGAAAAAAACGAAATTATGAGGGTATTTTGTGAAAAAAAAAACGAATGTACGATGATCTTTTGTGAAAAAACGAAATTATGAGGGTATTTTATGAAAAAAATGAAGTGTGATGGTATTTTGTGAAAAAAAACGGAAGTATGGTGGTATTTTGTGAAAAAATGAAATTATGAGGGTATTTTGTGAAAAAACAAAATTATGAGGGTATTTTGTGAAAAAACGGAAATATGAGGGTATTGTGTGAAAAAACAAAAGTATGAGGATTTTTGGGGATAAAATGAAAGTAGGTTGTCATTTTTGGTTCAAAAAGAAACTTTTCTGCAATTGTATGTTAAAAATGAAAGTAGGCTATCATTTTGGTTAATGTTGTATTAATCTACACATACATTTGATGGTTTTTAAAATTATCGCACAATTTTGCCCCTGTCCCAAACATGGTAATCCTCAACAACTTAAGGATATGGAAGCTCAAGTCACTTAAACAATACGAACAAAAGCGAAGAATCTCAATTGCTAATTTTGATTAAAAATGATAAGTGTAATTACATTTCTCATTCGGGAAAAAAAAGGTAAGTGCACTGTTATACAACAATCGCATCTATAATTCTAGAGTTTGTTTTTGTTAAGATCATTTGATCTCAAATCTTTTGGGCTCTTAATATGTCATTATGTCCTTTGTTATGCAAAAATGATTTCCAGATCATGGAACCTACAACAAGGGTATTTCAGTCATTAGTTAATAAGGTTGTATAGAAATGTAGATGAGTAGGAGGGTATTTCGGTAACCTACAACTAGACTTCTTTTTTGTGTTGGAAGTGTACACAACATCATTGTTGGATGGAAGAGCCATGACAGATGCACTCACCCTACAACAAAAAATAATATATATCATAAATCAAAAACCATAACCTTATTAACAAGTAAAAAATCTTTCATTTTGATTGTCTCATTCATACAGTTTATTAGGTAGATAAAAGGAAATAAACTTTATGTATACAAAACATTACACACACATCATTACCATTTTCAATTTCCTAAAAAAATTGCGAAGAAATTTTTCAACAAGTTTACAACGGCAATTTGGTCTTTCAATAAAAAACGAATACAAAAAATTCCGTTCTTACATCCACTTCTTTTCCATCTGGAAGAACACCCTGAGTTGTTGTATATATGCGAAAAAAATTAGAAGTATTAAATGAAATATTATGCAATTGGTCAAATAAACAACTAACCTTGTAAATTAGTCCATAGTCGCCTTCTCCAAGCTTATTATCAAATGAAAAATCATGTTTAGCTTTCATTATTTTTGATAGATTAAGAAATGGCAACTCAATATCATCAATCTGGCTTTCATTTTTGTAAAGTTGATCAGTATCCTTTCCCATCCTTTCATCTAAAATAATACAACACTTACTAAATAGAAACTTTTTCTTCGAAATCATAAGTCTTAGCAACCTTATTTATGATGGTAGAAGACATGAATTAGAGAAAACAGTAGGCAACGAGTAAACATGCATTATTATAATTCTACTTCACAAAAGACGGTTTTACCCCCGACAAGTTTGAATAACTAGGCCATATGTTCTCATTCTATATCCCAAGTGTCTTAAAAATCTGTTCAATCTCCTCTACTGTTCCCATCAAAATACTCCGTATTGTTGTGACATACCAAAATAGAAATCTTTAAATCACCATTGTTGTCCAAAAGCATGTTTGAAGTCTTCAAATCACTACGAATCACCCAATTCTCATGAAGAAAATATAACCCTTGAAGAAGTTGGATCATTAGACATTCAGCTTTACTTTGACTAAATGGTTGCATTGTTTTTTCTATGTAGCTTTTGAGTTCTTGATCCATGTACTCCAATATTGTTCGCATTTTTATTAATGATAGCAGCAACAAAAGAAGAAAATGACTTCTGATCAACAATGAAAGAAATAAAAGTGAAAGACAAAAATACCCCTGTAAGGTCTCCAAAATATATGACTCATTTTTCTTGTTGGTATTATGTCAAACACGTGGTGGGTGTAAGTTAAACATTTACAATTCCCCTCTATCAAAACACCAATTTCATCCAAATTAAACCTACTGAATTAGCCGTAATGCTTTATTGAATTCTCCACGATTGTTCTAGAAGTCACGATACCAGCCAGTCAATTATTCAAACGTATAACATTGAGTATTTTTATTAAATCCACTTATCTTTAGCTCTTCGACAGATAAAGCTATGATACCACTTTCCCCTTTGATTAAGCATTTCATGTAATTTCTACTCCACAAACCAAGAGAGAAGGAAGTTAGGGATGATACAAAGAAACCATGGTCATCGATGGGGGATGATCACGAAATGTCCCTCTTTGAACCTGAGAAATAAAACGAAAAACCTGTTCTTAGGATTAATCAGGAACTCGATGTTCTGGAATTAGTTATATGAAGTAAGAAAGATTCAATTTTTGGGAAAGAATCAAGAAATACATGTTAGCTATTAAGGCCTCACAAAAATAAAGAAAGAATCAGGTATCGAGAAACTCACACTCCTTATCAAACGACATAGTTTTAAATATTTGGGGTACCTATCTTATATATCCTTAAGGTATATTTACTTTTCCATATATATATATATATATATATATATTCATAAACAAACATCCCATATTAAAAATTTTACAATTAGTACTTTCAACAAACTATAAAAACCTGTGAATTATGTTGACTGTTTTCAAAATCACATATATTATTAGGATACCGAAGAATAGAAGATCATTCCAAGGGAGTACAAGATGCAACAAATTAGATAAGCTATGGCATGTAAAATCTTCAATGTAATTGTTGTTATAAATAAATATATGATGTTGGCTTTATGTATTATGGTTATGATATTCAACTAATGTCTTATAACTCTACGTTTCCATCGCCGACCAAGGGTGTGAGAACTAGCCTAGTGGTAAGTAATGGGCAGTTGGCCTTCACATAGCCAAACTGATCAAAATGGTAACAAACTCGAGTGCTCTGTTGCGGGGGGCTACTTCTGGTAGCGAAGTTCTCTAGCATTGTGGCCCTCCTAGCCTCTGGATGGGGAATCAGTGGGCTTGAAGAACTTAGCTACAGGATGAGACTAGACTGGGGTCTCCTTCCATCTCTCGCATGGGTCTTACTCTTAATCTCTCTCCTTTGAGCATATGACTGCTGCTCTACTTGTGTTTGATACTACTGAGGCATCACAAACTCTCGGATCTCAGTCTTGGGCCTGCTCAAGTATTAGGACATGTGAACTTTCTTCGAAGAAGCATACTCTAGGAAGATAAGGGCTCTGTTTGTGAACATCTTAGTGACCTTTGTTACCGATTCGGTCATCTGCTTGAGCGACAGATACTTCTTAGTCAATCTCTATCTCTCCACTAGTGGAATATACTCGGTCCGGAACATCTTTGAGAAATACTCCTAAGTTACTGCGGCCTTCTCCATTGGAGAATAAGCCAAAGTAGCAAATTTCGACCAATTCTTTGCTCCCAATTGAAGAAGGTTGAGTGAGAAAATCATCTTCTGGTTCCTAAGATAAAAACATGTGTAAAATCATCTCTCAAAAACATGTGTAACAACAACATAACACTCATCAAACATCTCAATCAAAGTGGTATGGTAAGAATCAAACACCTATGGAATCACCACTATGATGGTCGAAGTCACCTATGTAGTGATCGAGTCATGGATCTTGTCATCACTCAATCTTGGCCTCTCGGGACCATCGACACCTGAACCGGAACCACGCGTAACCAACATACTAAAAATAAAATGGGAACACATCATAAAATCACATGATACCATAACAACTTACTACCTAACTACTAAACCCTTTGAACCCAGGAGTTCCTTGACTCATGTACAGGTCCTATGCTTTCAGTAGTATGGGCCCATACTACCTTCCACACCTACCCATATTTGTCTCGAAGGATCGCAACGAAATTAGTAGACCACTAGGCCCAAAACAACTAGGGTACACATACACCCTACACTTACTCTCTCAAGATTAAATATCAATTCCTCAATTCTCCTAGCAATCTATCAATAACGCACCCAACTCATGAACCCTTCACAATCACTACATTCGCCTTGCATATGTTCATCATACATAACACCATATTTCAATGACATTCGAATAATTGATTCTATCCTAACCTCACAAACAAACAAGGAAAAGGAAATAAGGCTAAATCACGCATTCACATGCTATTGAATCCTAGTTACGTATAATCATGATGCATACACTTAGCCACTACAACCATAATGCTACTTTCATATAGAATAAACAAGAAATCCCCTAGGCTATCAGGCACCACAAATCATTCAATTCAAAAAAACCTCTTGCTTATGAACTAATATATGGTCTTAACAAGTGTAGGTACGTAGGGGATAAATTTCTCTTGAACCCCGAATGATGTACACATCGATCCTCCCTTTTTATTTTTTTTATTCTAAGAAAAAATTCATAAAAAAACCTTTTGAAGATCCATAGTTTGAGCTTGGAACCACACGAATGTTCATCCAGATCCCTCAAACCAACGATATGACACCAAATTGTAACATCCCAAAAACCATAGAAATTTTTTGACTTTCAAAATATATTTTAATAAAAAACATAAGTCATCCAATTCATTGTTTCAAAACATAATTATAAAATCATAGTATCAAAAAGCATCTCTCAATCATAAATCGAAGGGATGATATGCACAATCATGCCTTTTCCTTCCTTCAATCTTTAAAAGAACATAAAATAATTAAATCCCCAACTGTAAGATAAAGCTTAGTAAGTTCCCCCAAAATACCCCACACGACAATATACATATAATGCATGCGCACATGAACCTATAGTCTGATTAGATTTCCTCGCAAGGCCTACAGTAGACCTAGACCACTCTCTCGACCCTAAAACATATAGGTGTACAACTCTCTTGAGCCTACAACGCGAGGCTAGACCGCTCTCCTTGGGACTACAATATCAACTAGACCGCCCGTGCATCTTGGCATATATCAAAGCGCAGGACATCCACATCCCAAATACAATATGTCGACATATGAATATAAAACCAAAAAATAACCTACAAACATATGTAATCACAACAGATCTACCATACTAACAAATTACAACATCATAATAACATCATACACAAAAGGATATATACTATAACATGAAGTATAGTGAGAAAACTCACGTCACATGCTAGATAACAACAACATAGCTCTCACAATGCAAAGATGGGAACTACAAGTCACCAATAAAAAATAGAGGCATATCCTCAATCTGCAGTGAAAAAACCTTCAGGTTCACCAAATGTCAACTTGGTAAAAAAGTCAACAGTCAAAGCTAACAGTCAAAACAAACTTACATGGCCACCACGTTGTGGTCAAGCATCTATTGTGATGTAGCAGCTTCACAAGAGAACAATCGCAATAAATCCTCTTTACCACGACGTGGTGAGCATGTCACCACATCGTGGAACTACTCCTGGACAGCTTAATGGATTAATCCCTTAACCTGTTAACCACTTACTCACCTATTCTATAAGACGTCCTTACACCCAAATATCCTATAAAAATCCTTAATTTATGGACATGAATGTCAAATTCATGTCTTTAACCCTAGCTAGGTCAAAGATGGAGAAAATTAGGTCATAAGCTCATGCATGGGACCAATTTTCTATAGAATTTCAGATCTGAAACAAGCAACCATACAGAAACCTCAGGGATCCATAAAGTTGCAAAATTTGTGCAACCCTTCCACTCAAACCACCATAAACAAGAAGAAAAGAGCATATAATATTAGATCTATATGGATGACATGTAAAGGTAGGAGCTTGATGACTTACAAGACTCCAGAATGTATGCAAAACGATGTGAGGATATTTGATCGCTAGATCTAACCACCAAGAACACTTCGTTCTTCTTTAAAATCACCAAAACCACCAAAAGGAGTCAACATGTCAACAATGGAGGCTAGGGTTGATTTTAGGTTGAAAGGGAGGTGATGGAGGTTGAGGGTCTGTAGACCCCAAACATCATATACCTTAAATAGCGCTTAAGACCCAAAAAATTAGAGTCTACATCCTAGCCATCGCCACATCGTGGCATGGACCTTGCCACGTCGTGATGTCCAAAGGATGCACGTTCCTTTCTCAACTATCGCTAGTTCGTGGTGTTTCCCCAATCACATAACGGCCACCCCAAAATCCACATGTGAAGTCTTTAATTTCCATAAACAACAAAAGAAATATTTACTAGGAATTTGTTGTTATAGGGAGTTTATAAAAATATAAAGAGAGATAAAAATTGCTTGATTATAATGGGAAAATGTAGGTGTGTGTATATATATATATATATATATATATA